GGTCCTTCAACTGCTTGCGTTGGGGCGCCTTGACCCCGTGACAGCGGGCCCGATTTCCTGGTGCCACCGCCCTGGGAGGCACGGGGGTCGCAAGCTGGGAGGAGGGCCAGGAGGAGCATGAGGGGAACTCGGGGCCTCGAGTTCTCCTCCTCCTTGCTCTCCTCGTCCTCTTTGCTATCCTCCTCCTCCTCCTCCTCCTCATCCTCTCCTCCTCTCCTCCTTCTCCTCCTCCTCCTCCTCCTTCTAATTTCGTCCTCATCCTCCTAACTGTCCTCCTCCTCCCCCTGAGGCAGAGGTCGGCGGCACGGATAGGACCCTGCTTGGCGGAGGCCCTGGCTCGCGGGCCGCAGAACTGGAGGACCGCGGCGGGCAGCGGGCTGCCTCACCGAGGCTGGCTAGGAGCCTAACCGTCAGTCGGGCATGTCCCTCCACAGGAGGAGTAGACAAGAATAGTCAGAACATAGGAAGGGGACGACTTTGACGACTTTTCTGTTTTTTATGGTTAAAACCCATGATGCAACTCTCGCCCAAAATGGAAGGGCCCTGGGACACACGAGTAAATACACAAATAACAAGATTCTCTATATGTTTCCATGTGTTTTGGATTTCCGTCTTCCCCCCCCCTTCCCATATGTTTGCATATCTTCTGGGGGATCGACGATTCATTGTGTCTGTGCGGTTTTTACCTCTTGGCAAAAATCCGCCTGCAAGGGGACCTGCCCGACTTAATAGGTTGTTCATATACCCCCACCTACCTCGTATTCCGGCCGATAGCAACCCAATCCGGGACCTCCCATCCGGACTCTAAACAATGAACACAAAGTGGCCGTTTTTCTTCTCAACATCGTCTTTCTTGTCGTCGCCGATGCGAAAAGTGGCAGGAATGGGACGCGGCGCGCATCGCGCGCGGCAGTCAATCTGGGCCCGCCCACCCTGACTGTAAACATTGAATACAAAGTCTTCGTTTTTTCCAGTCAGCATGGCCTGCCTTGTCGCCAGCGGTGCGAAATATGTGGCAGGAATGAGGCGCGGCGCACATCGCATCCTGAGTAGTGCTACTAGTACCATTGGTACGACTACTACTACTACTACTACTACTACTACTACTACTACTACTACTACTACAACTACTACTACTACGACTACGACTACTACTACTACTACTACTACTACTACTACTACTACTACTACTACTAGTACTTCTACTACTACCACTACTACTACTACTGCTACTACTACCTCTTCTACTCCTGCTACTACTTGTTCTGCAAATTGTACTACCAATGGCATTGCTACTAGTCTAGCAGGAGTACAAGTATTACTAGTACGTCTACTTCCATAGTGCAACTTCTCTGTACTACTACTCGTACGAGTACTTGTACTACCTGTAGTACTTTTGCTCATGTTACTCGTATTATTACTCGTACTACTAGTACTACTACCTATTCGTATCCCCACACTACTACTACTACTACTACTACTACTACTACTACTACTACTACTACTACTACTACTAACTACTAACTACTAACTACTACTAACTAACTACTACTACTTACTACTACTACTCACTACTACTACTACTACTACTGCTACTACTACTACGACTACTACTACTACTACTACTACTACTACTACAACTACTACTACTACTACTACTACTACTACTAACTAGCTACACTAACCAATACCACTCTGCCACGGCCACTACCCCTTCTGACTACTACTACTACTCTACTACTACTACTACTACTAACTACTATACTACTACTACTAGTACTAAACTACTACTATTACTTAAACTAACTACTGCTACTGCTACTGCTGCTACTCCTACTACTACTACGCCTACTACTACGACTACTACTACTACTACTACTACGATTACTACTACTACTACTACTACTGCTACTACTACTACTACTACTACTACTACTACTACTACTACTACTACTACTACTACGACTACTACTACTACTCTACTACTACTACTACTACTACGACTCTACTACTACTACTACTACTACTACTACTACTACTACTACTACTACTACTACTACTACTACAACTACTACTACTACTACTACTACGACTACTACTGCTACTGCTACTTCTGCTGCTACTGCTGCTACTGCTACAGCTACTACTACCACTACCACGACTACTAGCCCACTGACCACTACCACTACTAGTATACCCTGCAACTGCTACTATATACTACACTACTACTAACTACTACTACTACTACTACACTGAGATGACTAACTACTCACTAACTACTACTACTAACTACTGCTACTACTACTACTACTACTACTACTATAATTACTACTTCTACGACTAACTACTACTACTACTACTACTAATAAAGAATTACTACTACTACATACTACTACTACTACTAACTACTACTACTACTAGTAAAAGTACCTGACTACCACTACTACTACTACTACTACTACTACTACTACTACTACTACTACTACTCTTACTACTACCA